GTCGCACAGGCACCGGCGGATTCGTGAGCATCGCCTGCATCCATCCTGGGTGCATGCCACATCGACATCCGGGTGCATGCCGCATGGACAGTACGGCAGACCGCAAACGGAGCCGTTGCTTAACATATGAAGTCCGGTGCTGTCTGTGATGTTTAGGTCTTGAAGCACCAGCGGCTACAGGAAAGCACCCCACTGCCGCATGGCTTTGTAATAATTAAACAGATAAGAGCGGCAGAGTGCAACTCTTCGGAGGCCCCGTGCATTGGCCAAAGTAAATGTACAAACAAGCAGCTTGTGTATTTCATAGAGAAATGAAAGCAAATTATGTTGGCCTGCTGGTGGCAAGTCGGATTGCCCATGCCGGCAAATGGTAACACAAGCTGGGTGTTCGAGTTATCATACGCCGTCATCTCAGAATTCCATTATGAGATACGCGGCAGCTTTCGGGATGAAATTTAGCGCGAGAGGCGTTGATGTGACTTTTGAGGTCGGTGAATGGAGGCAGCTAAACTTGTTTGTGCTCATACGGTCTTTGTTAGCTACATGCGAGATACCTTGCAATAGAGAATGCTGTATAGTACCGATAACGCGTTTCAGCCGGGTGAAATATTATGTTTGGTCCGTTACACACTCAAGGCCTGGGAGTTCGAGTTATCATACGCCGTCATCTAAGAATTCAAATATGACATACGCGGTACCTTTCGGGATGAAATTTAGCGCGAGAGGCGTTGATGTGACTTTGGCCTCGGTCAATTGAGGCAGCCAAACTTGTTTGTGCTCATACGATTTTTGTTGGCTACATGCGAGATACCTTGCAATAGAGAATGCTGTATAGTACCTATAACGCGTTTCAGCCGGGCGAGATATTATGTTTGGTCCGTTACACACACACACACACACACACACACACACACACACACACGGACATGGGCAATCCTACAGGTCGGGGCCCCCCTGGGCGCTTCGCGCTGGGGCCCCGCCCAAAAAGGAAGTGTTTGGGGCTTTGGCCTTGGGGCCGGCTGTCCACGTGAGTAGTAAGTTCACGGCCCTGTATAGTAAACAACAAAAACAGTAATAGGAATTTTGGATGAAGTGCAGCGGAGTGAAGAAGTGGATTTGCAGGACCGGAAGTGTAATCTAACGTGTAATGTAAGGTGGCTCGCTTGCCTTTTTGTTAATGTAGGTTGCCGATTATAATCGGCATATCGGTATATCGGTATATAATTATATACCGTTCGTACCTTGCTGTGGAGGGAACTGCGCCTGCGGCGGTGACAGCAGAACTGCCTGCGCTGCTGCGCGCTATGTCAAGCTTTTTCGTGACTGACGAGGAAACACTTAGTGATTCGCGGGAACGTTTGGACATCGTTGTACACTATTTGTTTGTATAGTGTAGAGTTGGTGTTTTGTGATATATTGAGGTTGTAACGACCTTTTATAATAACTTTGTATGTGTAGATTTATAACCTTGTTGTGATTTACCTTGTTCGTATATTGCGATCGAACCTTAATTCGGACGTCAAATTTGGCCAACCTTGAGCAAATTTCGCTTTGGACAAGTTTTGGAGGCATCTGATCGCTGTGGCGGTGATAACGTGACCTTTTAGGAAATTTATATTTTATATATACATAGAAACACAGCTGTTACTCCGTTGCGTTTACCAATGTGACCGTTATTTGTTGCATACATGCGAAGGGCGGACCACGTTGGATGATGTCAGTTTACGTGTCAGACATTTTGTAATGTAAAATAGTTGAGGCACAGAGGTGAACGTTTAGTAGAAAGCTTAACATGCATAGGTGAACATGTAAAGTTCGGTGCGGAAGAATTAAATACGCAAAGTGTAACGCATACAAATTTCAAAATGCAAAGTTCAGTGCACAGAGTTGGATAAAGTTATACGTATGAAATTATAGGCAAAGTTGCGGGCACGGTTATGGTTGCAGTTATGGTTGGTTTATATATGTAGTGTTCCCTAGTGTTCCCACGTGAATTTGCACGTTTGACTTTGTACGTTTAGCTTTGTGGGTTTAATTTTGCCTATTGAATTTTACTGGCTGAAAATTCTATGTTCGAGTTTGTATGTGTTGAAGTGTTTTGTATGTGTTGAAGTGTTCGTGTTGATCTTTGTGTGTTAAACTTTGATCGTTTTTTCGTCTGTCGCTGTCCTATCCTTCCTTTCTTGTTCCTTCTTCGTCGTTCCTCCTTAGCTATTTCTTTTCCCTTATGCCTCCTTCCTTTAGTTGTGTGTTATAAGTAACAAAAACAAGAAAGCGTGAAAACATGGAAACATGAAAACCATCGCAGGATTCGAACCTGCTGTCCAGCAAGTGCTGGACACCCCTAGGGACGGTTTGTCGTGCTGAGGCAGCACGCCCGGTTTTGCGCCGCGGGAAGGCGTTATTGAGGGAGGTGATACGGGGTGGCGCGAGGGAGGTGATGCAGGTTGGCCATTAGGTGGCGGTGTCGGGTGCACGGCGCATCTCCAGCTGTTCCGCCCACCGGAATTCGTTCCGGTAGCGTCGGTGTGTGTCGGCTGCTGTGGCGTCCAGCAAACGCAGTTCAGCGGCTAGGTCGTCGGTCAGCCTGGTGGCGCGCTGGAAGGCGGTGACCACGCTGCGGCGTTCGGTCGGGGTGGTGTAGAGTGGGCGCAGGAGGTGAATGTCATCGAGGGATTTGAAGCGGGTGAGGAGGACGAAGAGAGTGGCACGCTTGATCCCTTTCGGTGGTACACTGAGGTCGACGACCCAGCACTCGCGGAATGTTCGGCCCTGTACCCAGTGGTCCGTGACAACGAACCAGTCACCGAGGCCGAAGTTGATGCGTTTGATGGCTTTGGGTGCGGTGCCGGTGTTGGTGGCGGGCATCAGGACGGTCGCAGGCTCCTTGCTGGCACGGGGTCGGAGCGCAAAAGTAGCACCGTGGCTGGCAAGGTCGTGCGAGCCCTGCAGGATCGTGGTGGGTTTGTGACCATGGATCGGGCGTACAAGGATGGCGGCGGGGAGGTACTGTAGCCGCCGGTACGGTCCGGTGCCATCATCTGGTGGTTCTCGCTCGTCCATTAGAAGGCCACAGGCTTCAACCTCATTGTTGTGGAACGCGCCGGCTTCAGCACAGGCGGTATCCAGCAGGATGTAAGGGGCGCCTTCATAGTACCATGTGTCCGCCGTGGTGTGATCGAACTCGGCGTCCTTGACACGCATGGCAACAGCCTGCTCTACACGGGTGAGCGGAGCCTGTGGGGCTGTGCCACGGGGTTGGTGTGGTATGTGGTCCGCATTCCAAACCACCAAGCGTTTGCTCAGGTGCTGCGCTTGCAGCATCATGAGGCGTGTGTTTAGCGCGTGCCTCGGTTCGTTTCGTTGGACAACGACACGGGGCTTGAGGGGTGTCAGGGCCGACAAGCTAGAGATGGCGCGCGCATTCAGCTTGTCGACGAGCTCCTCAATGCGCTCGCGGGTGACCGGGCCACCTGCAAACATGGTGGAAGCCTCGGTGAGGTAGATGCCGCTTGGAGTGTTGTTCTGGCGCTGCTGACGGGTGAGTAAGAAGACGTCTTGGGCGAGGTTGCGGTAGAGGATGAAGCCGTTGTGGATATGGTCACGTGTCTGTGGAACTGGGTGTCGATGCCTGGTGGATGGTGCTGCATTGTTGTCAGTTGAGGAGTCAGATGTGACTGTGTGCTCGTCTTCTGACGTGGACTCTCCCTGATGCACGCGTTGTGAGTTGGGTGCAGAGGGTGTGAAGGCAGGCTCCCGCTCCAGCTGTGCTGCGTAGTGATATGCCGGGTGTCCGCCGGGTTGGGGATGTTGGCAGGGATCACCAACACCAGCTGCTGCCCGGCCTGCCAGTACGTGTGCTGCCGCGTCTGTGGCGGGCACGTGCACGTGAGATGTTTATTGCACGCATTGTAGATGGCGCCCAAATGCTCGATGCTGCTCATGCCGATTTCGTCGATGATGATTGCACCGGAGCCCACATTGCGGTGTACCTGTGCAGCAGTCAGCGTGTAGGGAATGGAATGTTGGTTGATATGGGATGAATTGGTTATGATGTACAGTGTAATGCAAGTGGCAGACAGTAGCGCGTGATGTGTTTGGTTGGTAGTGGGAAAGAGTTCGTTTTGCATAACATGCTTACCTGCAAGGCGACGGCGCTGCCACGTTTGGAGCGCCTGTGTCCGATGCCCATTGCTGCAAGGCCGAACATGGCGTGAGTGGAAAGGCTGCGATGCGTGTCATTGTGGAAGGCGGCAGCAGCAGTCCAGGCGTAGGCACAGGTGGCAGGCCACTCAGGTACACCATGTTGGAATGTGTACCAGAGCAGTGCGTGTACGAACTGTGATTTGCCGGTACCGGGACGGCCCACCACAAGCATGCGAGGTGGAAGTCCAGGGTCGGGCTCTGTACGGTGATCGAAGTACCGGGCCATGAGGATGAACGGTACTGCTTGCTCTGGCGATAGGGTGAAGAGGTGAATGGTATCCTCGATGGTGGGCAGCTGAGGTAGACGAATGTAAGGCGGTGTTTTGCCGGCCGGCACAGGTTCAGGTGCACGTCCCTCGACTTCAATTATGGCGACAATGGGGCTGACGGACGAGGTCTGCCGGTGTAGACTTAGGCGACGGTCGGGCTCAACGCCGTCTTGGGGGGTAGTGTTGGTAGTGTACCGTTTTAGGCGCCGAGCTGCCTCCTCGAGGGCCGTCATATCGGCAGCATTCACACGGTGCAGTAGATAAGAGGCGGAGGTACCATGGCCGCTCACCAGCACGGGCACAGGGCATCGTACGACGGCATCATATGCGTACAATCCACTGGCAGTGGTACGGTCGAATAGGGTGCCGATCGGCGTGGCAGCGAGGTCCAGGCCGGCAGTAGGAGCGGGACGCGGCTGCTGAGGGTGGCCTTGTTCGATCTGTGTATCACTGGCAGGCCATGTCTCAGGGTGTGTCTCGAAGTGCGCATCCTGCGCTTCAGCATTGCCGTCATCATCATCGTCAGCCCGATATCCGCCAGGATCCTCCGTGGGGAGTTTGTGCTTGCGCCGCCGTTGGTTGTACTGTTCGGTGTGGTGTGCGCAGGCAGCGTGGTCCTGTTCAATGTTGTCCAAAATGGCTGCCACACATTGCTGGTATCGGCGGCCAGATTCAGTGGTGGCTAGCTCAGACCACCATTCGTCGTATGCTTGTTGTACCGTTAAGTTAGGGGGCACAGGCGCGCCACGATGTGACTTGAAGGTACCTAGCACAAAGGCATAGTACTCATCAGCGTCCGTCGGCTTGGTGCGTTCAGTCGGCCGGCGTGGGAGGGAGCCGCCTAAGAGGACGTACTGTGGGCGGGGATGATGCTTCAGGACGTGACTAAGATAGAGTGGATGGCTGGGATGCAGAGCCACTAGTCGGGTTGCATTAGTGACACTGCTGGTACCACTCGGCAATTGTTCCAGCGGTGGAGGTGACGTCACGGTCGGCACTGATGGACCTGGTATACAGGTTGTAGGAGCTGGTTGGTTGGGCGACGTTCCATCCACAGAAGGTGTGAGTACTGCACTGTTGGTAGCGGTGCGTTTGCGGCCATGGCGGCTAGGTAGGACCATGCCTTGGAGGGTAGTAGCGTGCAGGTGTTGTGCTGGTTGCACGCGAGCCAAGCTGTAGTTGCTCGCCAGCGTGTATGCACTGCATTCCAAGCCGCTAAGCTCCGGGCCGCGGAGGATGTAGTTTTGCACCGTGTTGGAGATGACATAGTCGCCGGTGTTTGTATCTGTGTTTACGAGCGCGACTTCCACTGCGCCATCCTCATTATCCGGTCCAGCTCCAGGTGTGTTTGCCAATGCTGTGAACCCACCGACGGGGAGGTAGCTGCGCTGGTACGATGCCTGGAAGGTGTCGTATCCGGACAGTTTGAATGCCGCTAGTGCCATGCCCACGGTGATGGTGGCGGTCATGCGATGTGCGGCGGCCGCAAGGTTTCCTAAGGCGGTAGGGGTGGTGGCGGTAAGGTCCGGGTTGTTGACAGGCGGTGGAGGGACGCCTGATAGCAAGAAGTCTTGTACACGGGCGACGGCATTACACAAACGGTCCGCTTGGCTGCGTTCAATGGTCTTGGCCGTGTATTTGGGCGTGTAGTACGCCACATCACGTGCGGGATCGGTAGCAGAGCCCAGCAGTTCCTCTGGTGCGGGTGTCTCATTCCCGTCGGCTGCTGTTTCTAGCTGTGCTGCGACTTCCGTCGTATATGCACGGTCCACTTCGCAGGCCAGGCTGAAGAGGTGGTTGCAGCCGAACGCGAGCGCTGCTGCAGGGAAATGCGGCACGACGTTGTGGCCCAGCCGCGGCAGCAAGAACAGACCCTGCGTGCCGATCCACCGAAATAGGTGTCGTATGATGCGCGGGAACGCCATACCACAGCTGCCGTCGGTGCCTGTGCAGCCGTGTCGGACACACACATCGCTGTGAGTGTGTGTAAGGGTCGTTCGCAGTACAGCAGCGTGATGTGCATGGCATGCTGCGTGCTTCTCGTGTGGTGGCAAGCCGCCATTACTGCATCCAGCCAGCCGCTCGAAATTGTAGGCCGCACGAGGGCAGCACTTGTCTGCGGCTGGTGGCGGTATGCCGTGTTGTGCCGTCTCTTCTGGCGACATCTGGAATACACGGCGGCTGTCTTCCGGTACTGATGGGTCATAGTAAGGGGACGGGTACCACTGCTGACATAACGCGTACGCCAGTGCCAGGGCACGGCAGTTAGGGCCATTAAACAGCGCCTGGAGCCGTTCCACCGCAAAGGTTGCCACATGCGCTACACCATGCACGTGCAGCGCCAGGCGACCGCTCTGCTCCACCTTGGTCACCACTTCAAAGGTCCGGCCGCAGAAGCAGTTGGTGTTGCTCTGTTCCTGCGCGCCGGGTGCAAAGCCAAAGAGCTGTTCAACCAGTACTTCCTTCGTCGCCACCAGCAGCATTGCACAGCTGTATGGATCGTCTCTGACCCGTCGCCATCTCTCAACTGTGCTGGGAATGTTTTGCGGCCGCCCGTCCTCCCCGAACTCCACGACCTGCCCGGACGCTACAATAGCAGCAGCGGCGTGCATGTCGGCCGGGTTGATGTTGAAGAATAGAGTTGGCCAGCCGATGGCCATGGCTGCTGCCCGCATTTGCGCTTGTGCACCGTTGTAGTATGCATCGGTGAGGTCCACATGTACGGTACTGCGGCGGGTACCTTCTACCAGTGTTTGCACCAATGGGGACTGTTGCACCAGCAAAGCCCGGCGCTGTGGGTGGCTGTACAGTAGCGCCAGGATGTCCGCCATGGCCCGTACTACATCTCGTGGCAGCCGTGTAAGATCCCGTTCTAGGTGCGGCTTTATCCGCATGGTTACCCCCACCTGGGCCATCGTCGCCTGCCGGAGGGAAATGTCGTACATCCGAGCCAGCAACATTGGGTTCCCGCTAAACTGCTTCCGTGGCACCCTCCGGATGAGGTGCTTGCAGTAGACGGAGTACGACATGCCTGGCGGGCGCTGCCCAGACAGGCCATATGGGAAGGCCGTCGGGAAGCACACCGCGAGAATCGCCGGGTGCCGCTCATCCAGCGGCTGTCGGGCATAGTCACCGCCACACAGTACCAGCTTCGAGCGACCAGTTAGCATCTCCTCCACCCGCCACGGGCATGTGTCGATCTCGCTGCCATCATTCGGTAGATGGGAGGGCTGCGGTACGACGAGCTCCAGCTCATCCAGCGTGCCAGGCTCAGGTGGCTCTGTGGGGTAAAGTGAAACAGGGATCAGTCATTATACACTGGCATCCCAATATTCCTGTTCATGCGGAAGGAACATCAAAGATCATTATATTATTCAAATATTACTGTGACGAAAGCACTGTACGAAAACAATGGGTATGCCCATACTATCTAACCGAAGCCCACAAGTATTGCCCATACTATCTAACCGAAGCCCACACGTGAAAACCTCTTACCTGCACCTGCCACCGGCTCTGTAGTGGTGCCAGGTTGGGATGGTTCTGTGGGATAGGGTGAAACGGGGACAGGTCATTATACACTGGTATCCCAATATTCCCGTCCATGCAGGAACATGGAAGGAAAGACTTCTAACACTTCAACATTATTGCGACGAAATACCGTACAAAAGCACTGGATACAGCCATAATATCTAACTGAAGCTCTCAAATATTGGCACATATGAAAACCTCTTACCTGCACCTGCGATCGGCTCTGCAGTGGTGGAAGGCGTGTGTACAAATGCGACAAATGGCCGTCCACCAAGCAAGCTGTCCTGGTCATCCTCCTGTTCGTCACGCGCACTAACTGCAGCAGCAGCCTCAGCAGCACTAGCAGCATCAACATCCATATCAGCCCCGTTTGCAGCCTCAGCAATTGTCGAGGCATGTGCTCCAGCCGTCTCCATCCCAGCCTCAGCAACTGCAGCCTCAATCTCATCCTGTTGCTGCCGAACACCAGCAGCTCCTGTGCGGCCATGCATAAAGGTGCTGCGCAGCACACCAGCCACTTCCTCATCGATGGGTCCCACTGCGTTATCCAGCAATACTTCCGGGACGAACGGGGCACAGCCCATTTTCTCGTATTCCTGGAGCGCCACGGGATCGATCGCCCACTCCTCCTCATCGAGATGCTGCAGGTAGCGGACCCACGCAACGATAACGGGTCCTCGCATCTGCAGTGCAGGTGCGCTGCGGACACGTTCTCGCAACTCGTGCCGGTTGCGCACATGGTCCACACAGACGACGGTGATGCACCCTGCCATTTCAGCGAGTGCTGCTGGTATGAGGCCGCGCCATAGATGTCGGCCTGGGTTGGCCAGCGCTACACCGTGTGCACGTACCGCCTGTGGAAAAACCTCCGGTGGCCGACCGCCCAGGTGCAGAACTATCACCTGCTGCAATATGTGTGCACGCGCGAGCACCTGGCTTTCCAGGAAGGTCGGAAGGGGCAATGGCTCACCGAGGTGATTGCTGAGGGGCACATCCCCGGGGTCCAGGCGCGCCAGAGCTGCATCTGGGATGCGTCGAACTGCCATAGAACACCCGGAGGGAACAAAAGAAACACATGTAGGTAAGGTGAAATCGTGAAGGTGAAGTGAATACCGCAAAAAAACAACGAAAACCACGCAGGAAGGATGCTTGCCAAGCAAACGATGTCATACACTACACGGAAGATACATCACTGGATAGTACTAAATCTTACCCGAAAGTGCAGCCTCACAATCCTTGCAGACGAAGATGCGCTCCATGCCAGCTGCATCGACCAGCATGGTGCGATTGGGTAGGTCGGGCTCCAGCCGAATACAGTACAGTATTTCCACGGATGCAGAGTCTGTAGGGCATGGCTGCGGCAGTACGCGGGGTGGCTTTGGCTGCAGCTCGGGCGGCAGCTGTTGTGATGGCGCTTCCGGTGCAGCCTGTGCTATTTCGTCCTCCTCAGAGGTGCCACTATGGGCGCCCCTGATGTCGTCGTCCAGCAACATAGCGACACCACTGCCACTAGCGCCTGCAGCGTCTTCCCCCGGGGCTGTGTTGCGCCGATCATTCCGCCGGATACGGTACCGAACTGGCAGCACGGGGTCTGGCGGTGACGGTGCTTCCCCCTCGACTGTGTGTGCCATATGGCGCCATGTCAGTGTGTGTGCACGGCGCGGCACAGCCATTGTACACGGAATGTCGGCACGCAGCAGGTCCACATTAGGAATGCCATGGAAGCTGTACATTGAGCAGCTGTCTGATGAGCACAGCTCAGAGCATACAGCACATACATGTGATGGCATACAACGCCGCAATGCTGCCGCCATGCTAGAAGCGGTCTGCAGCTGCACGTCATACGGCACTTGGCGCTCTACTGGCAACTGACTGTCAGGCAGGTCTTCAACACGGCCATCAGGCAGAGCCATCAAGAAGTCTGGCAGCTCGATGGGCCGGTCGCCATGCAAATAGTCCAGTTGTAACAAACTGTTAAGACGGTCCAGTAGGGTAGATTCACGCCCACGCTCCTGCTGCAATCGCTGCCGGCGCTCACGCCGGGTGGCCGAATCATGCTGTACTGCCACGGCGGCGGCCGCTGGATCCTCCTGCTGCAATCGCTCCCGTCGCTCACGCCGGGTGGCCGATTCATGCTGTAGTGCAGCGGCGGCGGCCGCTGGATCCTCCTGCTGCAATCGCTCCCGTCGCTCACGCCGGGTGGCCGATTCATGCTGTAGTGCAGCGGCGGCGGCCGCTGGATCCTCCTGCTGCAATCGCTCCCATCGCTCACACCGGGTGGCCGAATCATGCTGTACTGCCGCGGCGGCGGCCGCTGGATCCTCCTGCTGCAATCGCTCCCGTCGCTCACGCCGGGTGGCCGAATCATGCTGTACTGCCGCGGCGGCGGCCGCTGGATCCTCCTGCTGCAATCGCTCCCGTCGCTCACGCCGGGTGGCCGAATCATGCTGTAGTGCCGCGGTGGCGGCCGGCTGGGTCCTCCTGCTGCAATCGCTCCCGTCGCTCACGCCGGGTGGCTGAATCATGCTGTAATGCCGCGGCAGCGCCGGGTGGCCGAATCGTGCTGTAGTGCCGCGGCGGCGGCCGCTGGATCCTCCTGTTGCAATCGCTCCCGTCGCTCACGCTGGGTGGCCGAATCACGCTGTAGTGCCGCGGCGGCGGCCGCTGGATCCTCCTGCTGCAATCGCTGCCGGCGCTCACGCCGGGCGGCCGATTCGTCCTGCTGTATTAGCGGGGCGGTGGCCACGGGCGAACTGGTACTACGTAAAGACTGCAAAAAACCGGTGGATCTGTGCAACGAACCAAGACGTAGTGAATTATTACAGATCGGTCGAACGGTTAACGGTGACCGCCGACTGCCCAACTGCTGTTCGTCCTGCTGCATATGAACAACAAACTTATACTTGCGAAAGTAAAGTAAAAGTCCGGTATTACACTAAAATTCCGATGTATGTTATTTTCCAGAACTTTTGTAGCAACGTTGCAGATACAGCAAAACGCGGTAAAGAGTTACTGTACAGATGCCCGATATAATACCGACATAATATAGCGTACATATATATGTGTACGCAAGCGTATCCATTCCGGACGCGGTGGATGTACACACTTGGGTATTCAGTTGCAATCAGTTGCATGGAGGCGCCTTCAAGCGCGTTCAATGAGTGAATTGCGTTTAAAGTATTACTAAAATTTACATAGACCAACAGTTCCTGTGCGACCATGCATACAGGTGCTGCACAGCACACCAACCACTTCCAGTGGGTCCCACTGCGTTATCCAGCAGTACCTCCGGGACAAACGGGGTACAAACGGGGTACAGCCCATTTTCTCGTATTCCCGCAGCGCTACAGAACCAATCGCCCACCTCTCCACAATGTTGCAGGTAGCGGACCCACGCAACGATAAGGCATCTGTAGTGTAGGTGCACGCGTTCTCACAATTCGTGCCGATTGCACGCATGGTCCACACACCCTGTCATTTCAGGAAGCGCGCCATAAATGTCGGTCTGGGTTGAGCAGCGCTACACCGTGCGCCCGCGGAAAAACCTCCGGTGGCCGCTCAGGTGCACAACTATCACCTGCTGCAATACTGCTGCAATATATGCACACGAGCAAATATATTTATGACCAATGACCACCACCACACATATTTAACTCGCATTCACAATTACACGGAACGTTCAGAAGAATTACGCGAAAACATAAACATGCATTTGAACATAGGATGTGGGGATCGAACCTGCAACCTCGCATTATTTCCGGATCTTTCCGGGGCGGTCTTTAGCACGTACGGCACGCTCCCGACGCGGAATTTCCAAAACGCTCCGGACCGCGGCGCGCCGCGAAGTGGACCGTAGCTTCGACTCCCAGGCCAGGTGTGGGTGTGTGGTGCATAAGGTGCTGTGTGGTGCGTAGGTGAGAACGGTAATAATGTGGGGAAGCAGTGGCGAGGACTCAGTTACATTACATCTGTGATGGAGGGTGGCTTAGTAGCAAGCCACCGCCAGCAGTGCCGTAGCAGGAGGTCATTCTCAAGGTTCACGTCTGGCATCCAACAGCAACGATCCATAACAACAATCGATGAGGGGCCCTGATAGCAGCACGGCACAAGGAATGTCCGCGGATTGTGAGCGGTGAAGTGAATAATGCCGCCTAGGCTCGCATCACACTAATTGCATGAAATCACCACGGTGGCAGCATCGTCAGCAGCGGAGTAACAGCAGTCTGCGCGGACGATCCTGCATTTGATGGTCGTCATGAGCAGAACCCAGCTATTGCCACACCCTGGACGCATGCTTGTGTTCTCGTGTTCTAGTGCCGTTGCATTCTCACGTCTGGGCGGGTGCCTGTCCTCACCGCCTCACTGTAGTGCATACATGGGGCCGTGTCGCATCCCCATGATGCATGAGTACAGTCCCAGTCTGTCACGGCCCCAGTTGTCGCATCCTCACACCTCACATCTTTGTCGCATCCTCACACTTCACATCCCCACCATACATCCTTGTCACATACATGTCTCACCGTCACACCTCACATCTCACATCCTTGCATTCGGCAAATATTTGCAGTACTACACGTACGGTTTCATGCGGTCATACATTCACGTGCACACGCATTGTGTGTACTCGCGGTCGCATGCCCTGGTGCTTCACATTCACGGGTGTATGGTGCTTTGTGTACGGCATGTGCGGCTGAAACCGCATATTAGGAATGTGTAGTATAGCAGCACCGGAGTGTTGCATTGCAAAAGTCAGCCATCATGCAGGGCACTGCGAAGAGATGCAGTTCCTCACCGCGGGCCGCCATGTAACAGATGCAGATGTGGAACACGGTGCCACAGAAGCAGTCGGGGTTGCTCTGCCGCTTGTCGCCAGGTTTGAAACCAAAAAGGATGTCCATGAAGGCGAGCTTAACCGTGTTGAGGAGTGCTTGGCTGGTGCAGGGGTTGTTTCGCACCCGCCACCACTTGTCCATGACACGCTCCTCCCACAACGGAGCACCATCCTCGCCAAATTCCAGAAACTGCCCAGCGGCCACGACTGCAGCCGCACTGTGCAAGTCGGCGGGGTTGACATTAAACATGAGGATTGGCAGCCCGGTTGCGGTGGCTACACCACGTAGATTGGCGTGCACGTTGTGGTAATATGCATCTGTCATGTCGATGCGTGCGACTGTTCACCGAAGAGAGGTGATGAGGGTGTGCACGAGAGGTGACATGTCTTGGAGCAGGTGGCGGCGATCCGGGTGCATCTTCGGCAATGCCAGGATGTCCGCCATCACTTTGACAGCCTCTCGCGGGATGGCGCCCACCGTGTCGATGTCCTGCTGGCAGCACTTCACTGTAACCCATGTCTGCACTTTTGCGTCCTCCATGTTGAGCACGTCCACCATGCAGGCGAGCATGAGGAGGTTGCCGCTGAGCTGCCGCTGTGGCACACGCGTAGACACATGCTGGAAGAAGGTCCGGTTGCTCATACCCAGGGGACGGATGCCGCCCTTTGTGTACAGAAATGCGGTGGGGAAGTTGCTGGCAAGCACATCTTCCCGGGAGTAGTCCAGGATCTGCAGCAGGGCGGAGGCATAGAGCAGGGAGCATGCATTGGGCAGGTCGATTGTGATATGCATATCAGTGAGGAGGCACAAGCCTTATGCGGGTGTGTCACGCGGGGATCCTCAGAGTCGA